GTCATAAATTATTTCTCGGGAGTCATATGCCCGCCTGCAAAACCCTGTGTCTCCACCACTGTTTTCAGACTATTTTTGGCACCTTAGCCTGGTTGAAAAATTTTGTTGGGGGTAACATTGTGTCACCACCCCTGTGCTGGCACCCATGGTGGTCCGCGCCCCCCTAGCTACACCACTGGGTCAGATACAACAAAACAGGATAAGCACTGTATGAGTAAAGCAAAAAATGTAAATGTTTCATAAGATGTGCTGATTTACAGTCAGCATTTTCAAGTAGTACAGATTTATGAATTAATTTCCCAGGTATTGTACAATTTCAAATGATTCCAAACAGCTTTAAGATTCATTTATTTTGACAGATTTTAATTATACTCTGGTAAGAAGAAAAAAAAACCTCTGAGGACACTTTAAATAGCTATTTATATTTGATACTGTTTCAAGTTACTCCATTTAGCTGGATTATATATATATATATATATATATATATATATATATATATATATATATATATATATATATATATATATATATAATTATTATTATTATATGTATTATTTATATATACATTTACACAATACAGTTTCAAGTTACTCCAAAGAGCAATATATAAACAGGCAATGTGTAATCCAATCTTTGGAGTCTATTTTCAGTTTCTCCAAGCTAATAATGTTTTGGGTTTTTGCAGAAGAGACTCAAGGTGACAGAGATGTGGTTCTACAGAAGGAAGCTAAGGATATCATGGACCAAGCGTGTGAGCAACGATGAGGTCGTAGAGAGGATGCAAACAAGGAGAAGGCTTATACTTAATATCAGGAAGAGGCAGCTGAAGATTCTGGGAAACATAATGCAAAAGGAGAGCCTGGAGAATCTGATACTCATGGGTTGAGTAGAGGGAAAGTTAGACAAGGGAAAACAACGTGTGACATACCTGGTGGGCTTAAGCAAGTGGATGACAGAATGTGGTCTGAGAGAGAAAGCAGAAGGAAGGAACTTGTTGAGAACTGCAAGGGATAGAGGGAGGTGGAGAGCCATGATCACCTACATGCTGAAAGGATATGGCATATAAAGAGAAGAAAGAAGTTATTTAAGAAAGCACTGGTACAATGGCTCCATAGTTTGATGGATGGACTATTCTTTCTTTTAATTTTTATACAGACAATATAGCATTGACATTTTTAACAGATAATATGGCCCTGATAGGGCACTTTATTGTACATTTATATACAAGTTTTTCAAGACTGACCCACAATTATGTCCAGATATGACTAAGTACTATAGTGTTGCTTAACTTGTTCTGTCTGTTAACGATATACATTTTGAAACAGAAAGTACTGTATTTGATGTTCAAAGTTTTAAGTCATTGCAGAACATTTTTGCACACAAGTAATATTAATATTAAGACAATAAAAGATCATGAATGAAATAAAAAAATATCTTCTCCATAATTCTATTTTTTTATTTTTATTTTTGCATACTAACCAATTTGCTGATGTGCAAGTAGTGTAACAGTTAATGTCTTGGAAAAAGAAATAAAAAATCTAAGTTTGAATTCTATCCATTTGAATTACATTCACTATTGCACAAATACATTTGGAAAAGGCATGAATCCATCTCTTATTACTCCATAGCTATGGGATATAAGGCAGTGTTGAATGGACTCACCTTCCTGACTAGGAGAAGGAAAACTCCAGATTCAAAACCATCCTGAAGTGGGATGGGCTCCATCAGGCTATCTTGCTATGTTGTGGTTGTTTAGTTTTTTACAGGTTATCAACCCTTTGTGGGTTCTTTCAAGCCAAAACATGTTTTGAGCTGTAAGAATAATTATTTTTTCTAAGTGAATATTGCATTCATAATTGTTTGAAAATAACAATGATTTCCAGATATAAATCCTACCTTTTACCTACCCATAGCTGGGTTACCTTGCCCCAGACAGATCACTGTTATTACAATTGCAGTAGATATGGTGCCCCTATGATCATAGTGGATTAAAGTACTAGTGACATAATAAGTAATTCTTTTATACTTTCATTTTATCTATGGTGCTTTTTTTTAAAAAGCTTATTTCATGTAGATATCTGAAGACTATGACTCCACCAGTTTATTATTAATATTATCATATATTAGAGTGTATCAAAAGTATTTTCATTTTTGCAGCCCTTTACTCTAAAGCTTATTTCATGTAGTCATCTAAAGACAAGCAATGATCCTGCTATATTATTATTCTATATAACCTATTAAGGGAGTTCCACAGGCGAGAAGTGTGAGAAAAGACATGATTGGCATAGACATGGCAGTTACATTTAACTATTTCAACAGTAAAAGGGTGGAACCTAGATGCCAATCTAGTAGCACACTTAAATTAACGTAGTAGAGGCACCAGAGAAAAAAGCTTGTCAGAGCAGTTGCTATGAAAATATGTGTAGAAAAGACAGAGGGAAGCCACATCACATCAGTGAGAAAGTGACTGAAGTTGAGATGCCAAGTCAGGTTCATTGCATATCCTTTTTTTGATTTTGCCAAGAACCTCAAGATGAATAGCAGGAGCATCAGACCAGATATGACAACAGTATTCAGTGCACAGACAAATGGTAGATTTGTAAATTAAAGGTGCAAAATTGATTTTGGCAAGAAAAATTATCTGGTACAACACAGTGAACCAACTTTCCTAGCAGAGAACCTAGCAATTGATTCAATATAATCATTCGACTTCATGTCAGTGGAAAACGTGAGCCCCAGAAGGCGCAATGAGTTTTCCTCCAGGATGTTAGCATTGACCATGCTGATATCATGCAAGAATGGTTCTCTGTGACAATTAAAATATAGCAGTTTCCTTTTGGATGCATTCAAAGTAACAAGCCCTTTCTTGCCTCAGTTAACTATTGATTTGAGGTCATTTTTGAGTGCAGATGCCAGTTTTAATTTGTCAGATCTAAATCATCAATTGATGGTATCTGCTGATCTCCAATGAAACATCGATTAATGATGCCCACCAATTAAGGGTTAAAAAGGCAGGTTTCTGATGTTAAAGGTTGTAACTGATGTGTAAATAGATACAAGAATTGGTTCTTTATAGTTTTAAACAGGTACTAAATAGCAGAAACATGTCATTTTTTTATATTCTAAGAATGACAAAGAGTGTTCAATGCTTGTTTCGTTTGCCAAATAATTTGTCTGCAAACAGGCCATGGCAGGGTCTATCCTCACCAGTGATATCAGAGATGCAACTATCTCATCCACAAGTTTAGCCTTCAAATTTTTCTGGTGTTTCTCCTTATCATTTTTCATTATTGGGCCACTTACATCTGCTAAGTAAAAATAATTTCCATGTGTTTATGGTTCCTGAGAATAACAGTCATGGCTTATATATCGAGACATTAATGTTGTATGATTTAAATGAAACTTTTTCTATGTGACTTCAGGTTGTTGGCAATAATGGCTCTCCACAACTTCCTGTCCTTTGTAGCTTTTAGTAAATTTTATATTTAAATGAATGCTTATATATCGAGACGTTAATGTTGTATGATGTAAATGAAACTTTTTCTATATGACTTCGGGATGTTGGTGATAATGGCTCTCCACAACTTCCTGTCCTTTGTAGCTTTTAGTAAATTTTATCTTTAAATGAATGCTTATACATCGAGACATTAATGTTGCATGATTTAAATGAAACTTTTTCTACATGACTTCAGGATGTTGGTAATAAGGGCTCTCCACAACGTCCTGTTCTTTGTAGCTTTTAGTAAATTTTGTCTTTTCAGGACTTCGGAATGTTGGTGATTATAGCTCTCCACAACTTCCTGTCTTTTGTAGCTTTTAGTAAATTTTGTCTTTAAATGAATGCTGAATGCTATGCATTATCAATTGAATTAATATTGCTAAATTGCTTTAAAAAATTATCTATATAATTTATTAAAATTATCGCTATAAAATCCCAAAAAGATAATAATGAGAAAATTAATCAGGAAAAACATGCAGGTGTGGGTAACGATTGACAACTCAGAAAAAAAAAATTAGGTAAGTGAATTTAAATTCATATCAAATTCATTATATTCAAGGGAAAAAGTTATGACTCCTTCTCTTCCACCAGCTATGGATTAAATAACAGGGCAGACTGGGCTCTCTTGCCTTGAGATGCCAATCCATCTAGGAGAAGGAAAACTCTGAATTCTAAACCAGTCTGAAGATGGATGGGCTCTGTCAGGTTATCTTGACACAACACTATGGCTGCTGTACATGTAGTGTGCCTATGGCACTAATGGTTTTACTAGAACAATTCAGATTGAGGTAATCTCATCTAATATACTTCTCACTGACTTCTCTTTAATTATTTTCAGACAAGGCAAAAGTACTCAATTCTTTTGGTCTCAAAAAATGCTCATAGATGGGCTTTACTTTAATAAAAGTAACAGAGCAAAATGTTATTAAGGAAGAAGGCTCTTTGTTCTGAAGTGATGAGTTTTATCCTAAATTTTCACCGTTAAGATTAGCATATTTAATTTTTTGTTTTTAGACTAAAATATTCACGATGAGTTGTTACTTTCTTTGTTGAGCTTGTTACTTTTCTGAATTTATTACTTTTCTAGGATTTACAGCTATATCATCTCAAAACACCTGTTTTCATATGATCACCAAAGTTAAGTAACATCGAGCCTGATCAGTACCTAGATAGGTGATTGCTCAGAATACCAGGTCCTGTAAGCATGGATGTGTGGTTTGATGTATGGATAATGGTTCAGAATTGTTAAGTAGTCTTGATAGAAGCTTTATTGTATGATCCTGGAAATTTACAGTAGAATATTCTGAAATTAGTGCACTTTCAATACATTTTAGCCTTAATAAAATTGCTTGTAACCTTAATTAAAACTGCATTCTTTAAGTTGAAATTATAATCAAACCTATTACAATGAACGACTAATGAATTGAGTGTATTGTTTCATAAAATATTCCTTTTGTGTATATATAATCCTTTATTTAAAATGATAAAAATAAAAACGGGCTTATGGTCATATCACATTGAAACATCAGTTCCCGTATGATCACCAAAGTTAAGCAACATCAGGCCTGGTCTGTACATAGATGAATGACTATTTGGGAATACCAGGT